TTCTCCGCGGCCTCTCGTCGCTGGGCAAGTCCCTGGCGTTCTCTCTGGCTGGAGCGGTGAATGGCCTCCTGCATGCTGTCACTCTGAGGGTTTCACTGTCCTGCCTGTGACTGTCCCTGCGCGGTGGGGTGCGGAGGTGTGGCGCCCGCAGCCTCTGAGGCCTCCTACCTGTTTAGGTCCTGAGCAGGGGCGTTTCCTTCTTCCTTGGAGCTGGCCTCCTGGGAAATGGCACTTAGAGAGATTGAGGAGTTTAATCCATTTCTCGCTTCCTCTCTTTCCCGAGGCCCTCGAGGGAGCCCAGAAGCTGGGACTGGCAGGGGCTCGGAGATGCCTGGGCCAGGAGGAGGGGTGGCGTGGAGCCTCAGCCAATTTGGAAAGCACTGTGACCCCAGTACACTTCACAGCAGCAATGTCAAATTCTGCCGTTCAGGCACGCCATTAGTGTGCAGGCTGCCACACGGAAACCGGTGACACAAAGGCACAGCCCTCCCCGCCCTCCGGTGCTTAGAAACGAAGGGCTCTAATGAGAAACGAGAGCTGAGATGGGGGCCGGGGCTCACGTGCAGCCTGGTGTGTCGGACGGGGCTGACCCACTTTTTTTGAGGCAAGGGCCTTGTGGGCCAGCCCCCTGAAATGCCACTTAAATTAGCCACGGCTCCCAGCACTAGGGACTCCTTTGTCCTCACCCCTCACTCGTGGCACGTGGAGGAAGCCCTACCCACAGGGCACCAGGAAACTTCCCTCTCTTCTCTCTCTCCCCGGGGGCGTCCCTGCTTCCTCCTCCAGCATTCGCTTTTCATGGCCGTAAGCCCCCACCCCGCATCCCCAGCCCTTAGACACGGGAGGGGCTCGGTGCGAGTGAGAGAGCACAGGTGGGTGGGCTTCACCACGAGGCCAGGCCTCTCCTTTTTCCTGGCTTTTTGATTGTGCTGCGAGTTATTTAACCAACAGGAGATGTTTATGTCTATATATTTTAAAGCTCGTATTTATTAACAGCCCAGAAAGGGGGAGACGGGAAGATTTATCCCCAAAGCTCAGTGAGTTAAAAGGGACAATTAGAAGAGCAGAAAGAGATACCGAGCATGGAATTGTAAAGGATATTTTAACACACAAAGGTTCTTGAGATATTTTCCAAGTCGACAGAAGGTAAAAGAAAATTGGCCCATTACGTGCGATCGTGGGGGTTGGTGACACAGGATGGAGTGCTGGCTGGCTGGCAGGCTCACCTCCTACTTAGAGGCTAGGGAGCCAGGCTGGGGGGGGAGATGAACCAGAGTAGGACCACAGGCGTGTCGGGGAGGGGGGCTTCAAAATAGGACCTGACAAAATACACACTTGCAGGCCAAGCAGTGGCGCGACGGTAACGCAAGTGGGCCACGCTGGGCCCTAGGTTCACAACCCGGGACCGCCCCGTGCAGGCTGGCTAACACTTGGGTAGCTCACAGCTGAGAACTCTGTTAGGGTTCCTGTCTCTGTCTGTCTCTCTCTCATTGAAGAAATAAATACACTTAAAACTGGGCACTCATCCCTCTTCCACCAAAGGATGCACACAGAGAAAGGCTGATTCCTCCAGGTGACTGTGGGTAGGGCCTCAGGGGGGCCGAGCCCCCGGTGGCCTGGAGGTGGGATCTGGCAGGGGCAACCTGAGGCCTTGGTATGAATACGAGGGCCCCTGGGAGCTTCCCCAAAACTCAGCTTCTCTGGGTCTGGTTTTACAGTACCTCCTCCAGGAGGCCTGCCTGGCTCTCTCCAACTTCCTCAGACTTCTGAGTCCTTTCTGGAGCCCCACCTCAGTGCTGGAGGAGTGCTGGGACATTAGGCAGGTGACAGTAAACATTTGCTGAATGGGATTCTTGGCTCCCTGGTAATGAACAGCCCAGCAGGAGAGGAAAGGGGGAGAGGTACGATTTGGGGAAGTGGGGTTCTGGGGATTGCCAACGATCAGAGGGGTGCATATGCAGGGTGGACAGGGGGTGTCTGGGGAGGAGAGGAGGGGGCCCGATGGCGGGGCTTGTGTATGGGAGTGCAGGAGGTGCAGGCACAGAGACAGAATGACGGGGAGAATGCTTTCCAAGCTTGGAAGCAGCAGGTGTCTGGGAATGGGACGGCAGCCCAGGCAGAGTTCCAGAGAGCGCTCCAGCTTGCCGGCACAAGGGGAGGATCTGGCTGAGACAAGAGGCAAATTGCGACGATGAAACCCACTGTTGAGGAACATCGGCAAGGGTGCCACGGGTGGGGACCACGTGCTCAGCGTGGAGAGGCTGGGGGCAGGTGGGAAGGAGACCGGAGTCGGGGAGCCACACGTTCCCTCCACCCTGGGGGTAGGGGTTCCTCTGGGCCTCCCCTTGCCAGGTTTGTCTCTCATGCCTCTGAACACAGGGCTCCTGGCCTTCCACTCACAGTTGTCTACAGATACCCCAAATGTGGTGCTATTGCAGCTCCAGCCCGCTGCTTGGAATACTCTCACACCCTTCTCTGGCCAGCTCCATGTGCTCTGAGACCCACCAGTGTCACCTCTTCCTGGAAGCACTCTCTGACTCCCCCACCCTGGCTGAGCTCCTCATGGCTAGGGAGTGAGAGGTGTTAACAAAGGCAGCAATCCCATACCAGTTGAGGAGTGTCTCCACGTCCTGCAGGGAGCCACGGCTGCCCACTGTGGTGTCTCCAGAGCCTGGACAATGGCTGGCCCATGCCAGTCAGTGTTAGTCGGATGAACCACAGGGAGCTAGCCAAGCCCTGGTGTCCTGGGAAGAGCAAATGTAAAGAGACCCTACGACTGCCAGCGGCCACCCAGCTCCTGCTGTCAGCCCAGAGTGGAGGAATCTGTCATAGCGGGGAAGGAAGAGAGAAGAGACATTCTCTCCTGGGGCTCAGAGACAGTGCTGAGCAAAGATGGCAGGGGTGGGCCTCCTTGGGAACAAAAGAGAAAGAGCCTCTGTCCCTGGGGACAGAACAAGAATGGCATCTCTCTGCCTTGGACAACTCAGAGGGGTCACTGGTCTGGTGGGTCGAAAGGCCTAGCTTAGTCCCTCAAGTGTCAGCTAGCTGGCTTTGATGTTTGGGGCAGTGGTGTCACTGCAACTGCGTACTGCTGAGTGACAGGTGATGTCACCCACAGCTGAGCTGCCCTCAGCCCCTCTCTCTTAGAGGAGAAAGTTACTAAAAATACACCTGGCGTTCTGGGCCCCACTGCCCTCCTCCGATAGCGGTGGGCAGCCAGACTGCTGTGCTCGGCAGAGGAGACCATTTACAAACATTAGCATTTCTCCTCCTGATGGTTCCAGCCCATGCTGCAGTCTTACTAAGTCTTTTTAAAAAAATTTAATAAAGTGCTTAGACTCTTGATTTTCCCACTGAGGGCTTTGCTGTCTGCAGTTGGAAATGAAATCAACAATGTAACAACATCTTCGGGTTCTCGGGGACAGCCAGGCCCTGGCACCGGCCTGGGTCAGAGCAGGCAGCCCACTGGGAGCAACTGCAGGCTGAAGATTATTTGCTCTGCCATCACTGGGCTCCCTTTAGTGAGTGTTCACGCCTTGTACTAAGGAGGATTTGTCCAGCCAGGCCTGCAAACAGCCTCCTCCCTCTGTCTAGGGAACACTCGCCTGTTTCTGAAGCCAGAGAGGCGGGCGCAGCCCCAGTCCCCACCCACTGCTGTGTGGGTCAGTCCCCAGCCTCCTGGAAAACCCCCCTGAGCCCCAGGAACTGGCTGTTCATTTCATGCCACCCCAGCCCCCTGAGAGTCAATAGCACAGCAGCTGCTGCTGAGGCTCTTGGGAACAGGCCTAGAAAGATAACGGGACCAGCCTGATTCGGGGAGACAGAGACAGTGCTGACCCAGTGCAGCCAGAAAGGGGGAAGTGAGTCACGCTCTGTGCATGAGAGGGAAGGGCCACAGAACAGAGAACAGGCGTGTGCACGCGTGCGTGTGCGTTCATGCTCTCGTGTGTCCCTGTGAGTCAGCATGCCCCCGACCCCGATGGCGCCTCCCGCCAACAAATGTGCTTATGTTCTCAGAGCTATGCCTGGCCAGGCACGCCCACCCCACAAAAGCCCAGGCTCTGCCACCCCATCAAGAATGCGGGGTTAGGAAATGAAAAACAGGGTTCTGGTCCAAGAGAATTTTTATTATTATTTTCTCTCTTAATTGGATTCAGTGTTTCTTGCTCCTCACGCAAATCCTCTCTGGTGGGGAATTCATGTTTGTGCAAAGCGCAAGGGAGACTGTACCCTCCTTGGCCCCTGGCCAGCAGCGTGGCTAACAGGCGAGTCCCTGCCAGCTTGCCTGCTCCATTCCCTGTGTGCTGCCTGTCCCTGCTCCTGGCCCCTGAGTCTGCCCTATGACCTCTGCCTGTCCCCGGGCATCTCCAGATGGGCCAGAAAGATGGGGCCTCTGTCATTCAGAAGTGCCTGAGATGGTTCTTGAAACGCCCTCCTCTTTCCCCGTCTGCTAAGGTCCCCTGACGCTTTTCTCCTGCCATCCCACACAAGGCCCTTGCCACGCTGTCACCAAAGGGCCTTGAAGAAACATCAGCAGCTGAGTCAGGCCAGAGGCTTGGGCTCACACCAGTCTTCCTGGCCTGTCCAGACGGCCGCTGGTCAAACACTAGGCTGACAACACTGTCCGACCCATCGGACTAACACTGTGGGTGCTGCCTCACCTGCTGGCTTAAAACCCCCAGAGTCCCTCCCTTCCCTTCACCTAGCCCACTCCCAGGGTCTCACTGCCTGACATCCAACAGGCCGCCTCTCAGGTCTCACCCTGACGCCAACAGCTATTGCAGTCAGGGTGACGGGGTGCCTAGGGTGACAGACAGGCTTGTGTTGCATATAAAAACAAGGTGATCTTTAATATCTAGGAATATTGGTCCCCTGAAGTGGTTCTTGTTGCCTTCCTTTCTCCCCAACCCTCCCCACTGACACTGCCCCAGGCCCCTGGCAAGCCCAGGTTACATGGGGACTATTGTTGCCAGGTTGGGATTCTAGACAAAAATTCTATACCTTTTTTTTTTTTTCTTGCTAGAAATCACCAGTACAATCCTTAGTTCAGCAGAGATAGTCTTTCATAGAGTTTATAAACATGATAAGACATACAGTTTGGTAATGGAGTGGGTGGGGGGGCCTGTGCATTTGTTTTTATATATATATATGTAGAGTGTGTATATATATAAGTGGACATGGTTATAAAACTGCACCTTCTGTGAGAACCTCATTGCACATCATGAAATTCTAAGTTTCAGCCTCTAATGATCTTCCTTTGGTAACTGGTTCTTGCACCTCAGTCGTAGGGCCTGGGTCTACCAGGGCTGCCTGAGACATCAGGAATGAGAGGCATGGCCCTCGAAGGAGGGACTGAAGGTAGCATAGGGTTGAATTCAGGACAGGTAGAGGAAGTGGCCTCAGGTAAGAGCCAAGGTGCCACCTGCTCATAGGCTCCCAGACTGCTGGTCAACCTGGCCTCTTGGACAAGGCTGATTGTTCTTCTTCAAGTCCTGCCTCCTCCAGGCATGGCAGGACCCTTCAGACCTTCCCAAACGGTCAAGATTCCGCAGAGCTCAGCTCCCGTAAGAGGCAATGGTCCCATTGCTGCTAAGGAAGGACTGATTTGCTGCGTGCCTTTTTACCACCTTGCTGCAGGCACGCTGTCAGAGGGAGCTCGGCAGGGGCTGGCTGGGACAGCTGGGGGAGACGCACTAATCCCCTCCTGCCTAGGGCTGTACACTTTGGGTTTATAATCCACCGGGCAGGGTCCAGACAGCAGCCGAAGCCTCTATCAGCCTTTTCCTGAAACCCAGCGGATCCTCTGCTTGTAAAAAAAGAAGAAAAGAAATTCTGTTCCTTGGTGGATACGTGGCAGTGCTGGGTGCTGGCACCCTGAGTCCTCAGCGGAGAGTGACCGCCAGCCCCAGTATCCAGGCCAGGAGCGTGGCCCCCAGAGAACTGCCCGAGGAGGCCTGCTGCACCCCACTGGGGGCACGGATGGGGGTCCTGCGGGCACACTTGCCCTTCCTCTTGGGCCGGGCCGTGGGCATCATGTCAAAGCTGAACTTGTGCTGGTAGTCGGGGGCATAGTCCTGCAGCTCGTGGGCCTGTTTCCCGGTGCCCGCCTTAGAGATGTGGTTGCGGTTCCTGTGGCTGGTGCAGTTCTTGCCTGGCTTCCTGTAGCCTGGCCGGGAGCCAGGCAGATGGCCGTGGGGGTGGCCCTTGTCCCTGGCAGAGCCGTGGTGCTCCTTGCGAGCAGCCCTGTCGGTGGTGGTGAGCGTGTGCGACTTGATTTGGTGCGGGGATGCTGGCCCCGAGCAGTTCCGGAAGTCCTCAGCCCTCAGCAGCTTCAGGTCTTGGCCGTGCCGCAGCTGGGGGGACACGCAGGGGACTGCGGAGCTGGAGCCTCGGAACTTCCGCAGCCATTCCCATAGCGAGTAGGCCCGGCAGCCACAGTCCCAGGCGTTCCCATTGAGGCGGAGGAACTCCAGGGCCCCCAGAGGGGCCAGGCAGTCGCCCTGCAGCTCGGAGAGGCTGTTGTTGAAGAGAAAGAGGGTGGTCAGCCTGCGGAGGTCATGGAAAGCCTTGTGGTGGACCCACTGCAGCTGGTTCTCGTGGAGCAGCAGGCGGTCCAGGTTCACCAGTCCCCGGAAGGTGTCCTGGCCCAGGCTCCACAGCTTGTTACCATGGAGGAACAGGTGGCTGAGGTTGACGAGGTCCACAAAGATGTCGTCCTGGAGGTACTCGATGTGGTTGTCCTGCAGGTAGAGGTACTGCAGGCTGTGCAGGCCCCCAAAGATGCCTGCGGGCAAGGCGCTGAGCCCGCACTTGTAGAGGTAGAGGGCGTGAAGCTTCACCAGGCCCTGGAAGGTCTCGGGTGCCAGCGTCCGCAGCTGCCGGTTGTCGCCGAGGTCCAGCTCCTCCAGGTGCACGAAGCCCTCGAAGGTGTTGGGGTCGATGTAGGTGATGTTGTTGGAGTAGATCCACAGGGTGACCATGGCAGGGCTGAAGTGGCCCTGCTGGAGGACGGTGATTCGGTTGTTCTGCAGAAAGATGCGCTCGCTGTCCTCGGGGATGCCCTCGGGGATGGCGGCGAAGTTGTGCGCCTGGCAGCTGACCGTCATGGGTGCCGGGTAGCACACGCAGTCCCGCGGGCAGCCGTCGCCCAGGGGCAGCTCCCCGGCCAGCAGCAGCAGCAGCAATTCCACACAGCACCCTGGAGGAGACAGAGCAGAGCCAGGTCAGGGGCTGCCCTGGGAGGTGGGAGACAGACAGGAAGGGTGGAGACTGACACTCCAGAGAGTCTGGCCCATGACGGAAAGAAGACAGGGGTCAGGAACCAGGCCTTGACCCCATCTAGGACTAGACACCTCTCTCTCTTTCTATAGGAATATTTTTTTTAAAAAATATTTCATTTTATTATTATTTTTAATTTGACCGAGAGAGACAGAGAGAGAGAAAGGGAAAGTTAGAAAGCAAGCCACCAAGTTCAGGACTCAAACTGTGGCTGGCCATGTGGGAGTCCAGCGCCTTAAGCACCACACTACATGCAGGCCCATGTTCTATGGGAATTTTATCCCCATCCTGGGCTAGGACTCAAACTGTGGCTGGCCATGGGGGAGTCCAGCGCCTTAAGCACCACACTACATGCAGGCCCATGTTCTATGGGAATTTTATCCCCATCCTGGGCTGGGAAGTGAGTTGGGATGAAGGCTCTGATCACTTCCCTACTTCCTTAGCCCCGCCCTAAATCCTTAGCTCCAGCCCCTCAGGCTTTGCCATCCCAACCCAGGTGGGGCCCCCACTCACGGATGTCTGTGCTAATGGATAGTGGTGCCACCTCTTGCCTTAACAAAGTAAATACCTCATATGGATTATTTATTTTTTGAGAGATTTTTGCTGTAGGGTGCATGCTCTTGCTGGAGAGACAGAGAGAGACAGAAAGACAGAAAGCAGGAACCAGCAGTTAGCATAATGGCTATGTTGCTGGACTCCCACGTAGTCAACTGCGGTTCGCGTCCTGGACCCGGTGGCTTAAAACTCACGCCGGGCGCGTGTGCGTGCGTCCCCAAGATCCCGTGAGGAGAATGGAGGAGAAGGGATTGCAGCGTGACCATCCCCCCTGGGGGGTGATTTCTTGCTTTCTGTCTCTATGTCTCTCTCTGTCTGTCTGGTGAGCGCAAACGCCCTATAGCGAAAATCTCTCAAAAAAAAAAAAAAAAAAAAAAAAAAAAAAAAAAAAAAACAAAACATGGTCACACCACAATCTCTTCTCCTCCATTCTCCTCTTTGTATTTTGGGCATGCACACACACATGACCAGTATGAGTTTCAAGCCACTGGGTCTGGGACTTGAACCATGGTTTACCATGTGGAGTCCGGCGCTATAACCACCACGCCACCTGCTGGCCCCAGAGTTTTTAATTTTTAAAAATTTGCCATAGGGAGCATGTACCTGTCAGAGAGAGAGAAAGCACCCTCTAGTGGGGGTGACCACACCATAATCCCTCCATTCTTTTCTCAGGATTTTGGGCATTCACGCACACATGCCACAGGTGTTTTTCAAGCGGCTAGGTCTGAGACTTGAATTGTGCACTGAGCCATATGGGACACAGAAACCTTAACCACCATGCCACTGGCTGCCCCAACCCTGTCTGGATTCTTGAACTGTTTTACCTAAATTATCCCAAATAGGCAAAACATGCATGTAGGACACCAAAGTTCACTTCAAAAAATACCTCATTGACAATGACTCCACATTCTCAAGTATGAGACACCCTCTCTGTGCCTCAGTTTCCTCATTTCTAAAATATAGATAGTAAATAGTTCTCTCTTGCAGAAGTAGGCAGATATACTGAGAAGGCACATGTATGTGAGGACTGGGGCTGGCACCAGGGCTGGGCTCTGGGACCCAAGAAGCTGCCAGACAGATGCTACCCCCACCCCAACCACCTTCTGGCCCCTCCCCTCGCTCCAGATCCCAGGCTCTGGCTGCAAAACCCGGCCTTGTGTCTCGACTGTCCTGAGCATTTCCTCTGTAGCTTCCCTCTAATTGGGCATTAATTAGGCATTCGTTAATGGATCCTTACAATAATTTATTTTCGGATGTGTCCAGCCTGTGGTCGGATAATAGCCCCACGCTCATTATCGGAGCAGCCTCATTATGGACGATTGTCATTACCTGCCTTTTCCCCTGGTCGCACTGCCCCAGGCGGCCAGGCAGGCGCGCCAGGGTCGGGGGAGTCAGGCTCCAGGACTACAGACCCCCACTCTGGGAGGCCAGACAGCTATCTCCTCCCTGCCCTGATTGGCCTCCTGCCCCTTCTTTTCTGGCTTGTTCAGCCAGGCCTCTTGGGAGAGCTGGGGCGCCGGGGGCAGTTCAGCCGGGTCTTCCTGCTGTCAGCTGTGCCCAGAGCAAGCCGGATGAAAGAACGACCCGACCCTCTGGGCCACTCTCTCCCAGCCTCATCCCGCCTGCCCCCAGCAGACCTCACCGACTCCCATCCCCTTGTTCCTGGCAGAAAGTGTTGTAAATAAGTGACAGCTCCCAGCTGTTGGGAGTTATGGGCTCCCTGAGAGTGGCAGCTGCTTCCCGCCCCCCCTGTAATCACCCGGCTTCGACCAAACATTTGCAACACATAAAAATCATCGCACATAATTCGCTTTTTGCATAATTGGGTTCAGTTGCTATTTCAGAGCAATTATGACCTCAGTGGTGGTGGCAACCCAGCTTCAAGGACCCTTTCTGGGCCAGGCTATGCTCTATGCAGCCTCGGCAGTACCTTCAGTCACCCTAGCCACCACAGCCCGCAGACCAGGCAGGCCAGGGCCTCAGTTTCCCACTCGGTAACGCATGTAGGAGATGATGGCTATGCCAGCCCTCCCTGGCCAGACCGCTTGAATCTGGCCTCCAGCCAGTCCCAGCTCTCAGGGGGAAGCAAACCTGCCCACCCCCCAAGGTCCCATACCCAGGACCTGGAGGAGGCCTAACCCATAGTGGCTGCACTTCCTCAGAGCAACACCCCTTGTGTCTGGTCTCAGCTCACACCAGACTGCCTCCTTTCAGGAAGGCTGCATCTGCAGAACTTCCCCCAGGGAGTAGTCCCCCACCCCAGGCTGGGGTCCCAGGGCAGCCTGTGCCACATCTTGGGCTGAAGCTAAGGGGTGAAGGACTGCAGCCTCACGCCCTGGCCCCCCAGGATCTTGCAAAGACAAGACATCCCTTCCCTTGGTCTGCAGCAGCACAGCCCTCGCTGCAGGGGGGTGGGGGGGTGCAGGCTCAGCGCTAATACCACTCGACATTTGTACAGCTTACCGGAGTTGACAAAGCACTTCTGCTCGCGCTCGTCTGATCCACAGAACTACCGTGTGTGGTGGGCAGTGTGCGGCAAGGGGCGGCCCTCCTCCACCTACTATTGTGCCTGTCTCCACAGGCCCCAGGGTGGAGTGCTCTGAAATTGCCCCTGAGAAGTAGGTGGCCCCAAGGAGAGACACACTCCCCTTATGCAGAGCAGCTGGTCCTCCCAGGGGACAGCGGGGCCCAAGGGAAACCAGGGGAGAAGCCTAGCCCAGGGGAAAAAGCCAAACTGGCAAATGTGGACGCCCTGGCAGGTCAGAGGGGTGGAGTAGCAGGGGAGGGGTGAAGGGGGCACCCAGGACAGGTGGGTCAGGAAGGCCTGGCACAGGGCTCGGCTCGCATCCCTCAGGGAAGAACACGCTGTTTATATCAGAGTCTGGGGGTGGGGCAGGGGTGGCATGGCCATGGGGACTGGTGCGGGGCTGTCACTACCTTAGGAAGGCCTGAGTACGACGGAAGCCACCTCGGGAAGTAGGCTGGTGGGAGCCGAGGCTGGGGGCGCTGCGTGCCACCCTCTGTTTCTGCCCAGATGCCAGGCACCATGACTGGAAGCTGCATTCCTTTGCCGGGCATTTTCTTTTTTTAAGATTTTTGCCATAGGGCACGTGCGCCCACTGGTGAGACAGAGAGAGAGAGACAGTGAGAGAGAAGGTGAGAAATCACCCCAGGAGGGATCAACCAGCATAATCCCTTCTCCTCTACTCTCCTGGGATTTGGGGCATGCACACACACGTGCCCGGTGTGATTCTCAAACTGCCCGGTCTGGGACTCCAACCGTGGTCAACTATGTGGGAGTCTGCCACGCCACCTGCTGGCCCCTTTCTGTACATTGTAAGGTGTGAGTTAGAAGGGATCGGGCTTAGTGGAGGACCTTCATGCCTCTTGCACCAGCCTCCTCAGTCCCCTCTGAGTAGGGTAGGGGTCCCTCTGCCTGAGGGGCTCAAGAAGGCAAGGCGGGGCTCCCACACGCCTTTCTCAGGCTGGTCTTCCAAGGGCACACGCTCTGCTGACTCTGCAGACGCCTGGGCTACTCCTGGCCTCCCACACGTCTGAGCTCATCAGCCTCTCGGCAGCCTCATTCCTTCCTTCCTATTCAACCCTTGCCGCTGAGCCCCGGAGTGTCGCGGTGCCAGTGTGGTGAGGGCCCAGGGAAGAGCCAGGTGGGTGCTCAGAGCTTGCTAGCTGGAGTGAGGAGCACCAACCAGGCAGTGTGGCCAGGAGCTGGGCCCAGAATAGATGCTGGTGTGTTTGTGTGGGAAGGGGGTGGCACTCAAGGAAGGCCTCCCCAATACTGGCCACCAGCCAACCGCATGACATAGGCAGTTCCTCAGCCTCCTGGTGTAGTCAATCTGAGAAGGGGGATAAGAAAGGTCCCTGCCTCGGGACCAGCAGTTGGTGTAATGGCTATGTCGCTGGACTCCCATGTAGTTGACCATGGTTCAAGTCCCAGACCCGGTGGCTTAAACTCATGCTAGGAGTATGCGTGCATGCCCAAGATCCCAAGAGGAGAATGGAGGAGAAGGGATTGCGGCGTGGCCATCCCCCCTGGGGGATGATTTCTCACTTTCTATCTCTCTGTCCCTCTCTGTCTTTCTGGCGAGTGCACGCGCCCTATAGCAAAAAATTCTCCAAAAGAAAGAAAGGTCCCTGCCTCACGGGTGGCTTTGGGATTCACAGAGATGTGGACCGCCCAGTGTGCAGCCCGGCTCCCAGCAGAGGCTGCACCGTTGAGCGCTGGTGTGGTTTCAGGTCCTCCTTCCTACAAACCCGAAACGCACTCCTGTTGGGCAGGGAATCCCCGCTGGGGCGGGAGGGGGCGGAGGGGGGCAGCGGCCTGAGCAGAGCGGGCACCTCACCTAGTAAGCCAGGCGGTCCCAGGAGTTTATGAACAGTCCCGTGGGGGCAGACCTGGTGGGTGGGGGAAAAGGAAAGGGCACAGCCTGGGCAAAGGCAACGGGGAAGGCGGGAGCAATGTCCTGTCTGACCCTGCCCCTCTCTCAGGCTCTGGCATGAGCCTCGAGGAGGCTGTACCAAAAGATGTCCACTGGAACCAGTACCTACAGGGCCCAGGCCCCAGCCCAGGCCAGGTGGCCCGTGTGGCTAGCATGGTACAGGCCTCCGGCTTCCCGGCCCCCAGAGGAGGTAGGGAACAAGGAGGACCCAGCCCTAACAGTGCAGCAGGTCCCTCACAGGCAGCCCTCACAACAGCCCAGTGGAGGGAGAAGTGCCAAGTCACAGAGGAGGGGACAGGTCGCAGAAGGAAAGTGCCCAGGCGAGGCCACTGGCGAGCAGGGCACAGCAGGCCTTGCCCAGACAACTGGGCATCCAGGGCTCTGCCCAGCTCACACTGCACAGGTGGACGGGGGAGCCTCAGCCGGGGGTGGCCGGCCCTCCCAGGCCCTGAGATCTCCACTCCTCACACCAGCTTGCTGGCACCTGAGCAGAGCTCACCACCCCCGAACCCCCGGGCAGGTCTATGGGGCTCTCTGAGGCTTAGAGGTCAGCCATGTGGTCAGTCCTGACTTTGCAGCCCCCACAGGGTTGAGCTCCCTCGTCCCTGTCCTGCTGCCTCCAGCCTTCCAGCTGCTCCTCACTAAGCCAATCGATGCTAACCGAAAGCTGGCCGGATAACTGCCTCGGGCCAGGCCGGCTGCGCTCACAGCTGCTGGTGCCTCAGGACACTCAGCTCTGTCCCTCCATGCCACTTCCTGGTGAGTCCCTCACTCCCCCCACCTAGAGCCTGGGGACAGGAAGCCAGCCAGGGCACAGATGGGCTTCCCTCCCCGGCCCCATCACTGGGCATGGGGTTAGAGAGAGGGCAGGATAGGCAACAGCTCCATGTCCATAGCACAGGGCAGTGGGAGGAGAACAGGCTTGACAACCAGGGAGACCTGGTTCGCATCCTGGTTCTCCAACTACAAGCGTGTCCCCTCGCTTGTGTGAGCCTCGTCTTCCTCACCTGTAAAATGGGCAATTGTTCAAAGCTCTAGCCTGAAGATGCCAGTACCCGCCAGCCTCCCCAACCTCTCCACCTGACAGAGTCTGCCTAAAACTGGGCTTTGCTCTACCCCACCCCCCACCTCCTCCACTCAGCGAAAGGCGGCTCCTTCCTTTCAGCTGCTCGGACCAAACTCCCGAGCATCATGGGGACAACACCCCCCCACCCCACCCTACACTCGGCCTCTCAGAAATCCTTCAGCCTAGCTCCAGAATTTATCCAGCATCTACCCACTTCTCTGGCCACTACCAGCCTGGGTCACCGTCTCTCACCTGGACTTTTACAAAAGCCTCTTAAGTGGTCTCTCTGCTCCACCCAGATCTCCTCCAACATGGCGGCCAGCGAGACCCAGCCAGAATGTGCTGCTCCTCTGCTCGAACTCTCCATGGCTCCCACCTCACTCCGCACGGTCTCTCCAAGTCTCTCAAGGCCCAGAAGCCTTCCCCATCTGAGTGTCTTCTCCTTTCTCCTCTCCCCGAAGCCTAATGGCCTCCCTGCTGTCCCTACACCTAGGCCTGCTGCCCCTCTGCCTGGGTGTCTGCAGGGCTCCTGCCCCACACCACCACCCAGACTCTACCCCAGTCACCTTCTCAGGGAGGTCTTCCCAGAGGAATGTGCAGGGTATGTGCACTCGCCTATGGGAAAAAAAAAAAGTTGTTTTAAAGTTTATTTCCTCCATGAGAGAGAGAGAGAGACTGCACTGTCAACAGGGTATTGACGCCACGATTTACCCCTCGCCCCAGGCAGCCCTGGGCCACGGGCACGCGTGTGCCGGCGTACGCAGAGATGTCTCCGGAAGCTGGATCAGCTCTGCAGGCCAGCCTCGCAGAGAACCACACGTCACCTCTGTGCCACCGTCGGGCCCCTGCAGCCTATTCTGAATTTCAGCTGGCAGTCAGCATGTGTGCTCACCTGAGAGAGACAGAGAGACGGGGAGAAGGCACCCCCGCAGGGCATGGCCACGCTCAATCCCTCCTCCTCCATTCCTCTATCCCATCTGGAGTTTCACACATGCTAAGGTTATTTTTCTTTTTAAGAAAATTTATTTTAATTTAGCATTATTATTATTTTAAGTTTGCTATGGGGCACACATGCTCACCAGAGAGAGAAGAAAATTGAGAAAGCAAGCCGCTAGGTCCGGGACCTGAACCAAGGTTGACCATGTGGGAGTCCAGAGTCCAGCACCTTTAACACACCACCCACCAGCCCCTTCTTCTTCTTCCTCTTTTTTCTTTTTTTTAAAATAGTTTTACAGAATTATTAATTTAATTAATTTATTTGTTTTAACTTGACCAGAGAGAGACAGAAAGAGAGGAAAGAGAGAGAGAGAGAGAAGGAAAGCGAGAAAGCAAACTGCCAAGTCCAGGACTCAAACTACAATCAGCTATGTGGGAGTCCAGCGCCTTAACCACTGATGCCGCCTGTTGGCCCCCCAAGATGTGTTTTTCCAGTCACCAGCACCAGGATCACACCACAGCCAAGGGGACTGCCTTAACTGCCAGGCTACCGGGCTGGCCCTGAGCACCTGATTGCCTATTTTCTTTTCTTCTTTCTTTTTCTTCCTTCCTTTCATTCTCTTTCTTTCTCTCCTTCCTTTCTTTTTCTTTCTCTCTTTCTTTCTCCTTTCTTTCTTTCTTTCTTTCTTTCTTTCTTTCTTTCTTTCTTTCTTTTTTTATTTCATTCTCTTTCTTTCTCTCCTTCCTTTCTTTTTCTTTCTCTCTTTCTTTCTCTCTCTCTTTCTTTCTTTCTTTCTTTCTTTCTTTCTTTCTTCTTTCTTTTTTTAAGACTTTTGCCATAGAGTGCATGTACTTGCCAGAAAGACAGAGAGATACTAGGAAGGAAAGTGAGAAATCACCCCCAAGGGTGGACGGCTTTGTCTGTCAGAGAGCTGGAAGGGATGCTCCCGCGCAGGGCCCATCTGTGGCCTAGGGCAGGGTGACCAGGGCAGGTTGGCCTGGGACTGAGGTGTTTCTCAGGCAGTGGGACTTTCAGTACTGAAACCAGAAAGTCCCAAATAAGCCAGGACAAGTTAGTCAGCCTATCTGGGAGCCAAGACTGTGCAGGAAGGGGTAAGACAAAAAAATCTCTGGGGTGCCAGGCAGGTGGTGTCATGGTTAAAGGGCTGGCTCCCATGTGGCCAACTGCATGGTTCAAGTCCCCCGCCTGGTGGCTCAAAAAACATGCCAGGCATGTGTGCGTGTATGCCCAAAATCCCAAAAGGAGAATAGAGAAGGGATTGCAGTAGTCCCATCCCTCCCCCCACCCTGGGAGGGGGTGCTTTCTCACTTTCTGTCTCACTCAGTAAGAGGGGAGGGGACAAACAGTCAGGTATGAGGCAGGTGCGTTCTCAGACACCACACATCAGCCCAGGCCTACATCCCAAGCTGCACTAAGCTTGTGTGTGCCTGTGTGTCTGTGTGCGCATGTGCACGTATATGTATGTTCACAGTGGTCCGTGTGCATCTGTGTGTGAATGAATATCCGTGTGCACAACTGTGCCCGCATGTCTATGCTATTAACACATGTGCACACATGTCTTGTGTACATGTGCACACACATGTGTACGTGAGTACATGTGTGCATGCATAAACACGTGTGTCCTTGGAAACCATAGATGAGGCTGGTAGCGGGGGCGTCTTTCCTGCTGCATCCCTGGCCGCCATCCTGGAGTGTGGGCAGGGCCCTCTTCTGAGGAGAGGCCTGCCCACCCCAGTCTTATCTTCGCGCTCACTCTGGCTTTGCCTTGAGCCCCTGCTCTCCTCCTGACAGGCTGAATTATGCACCCACTCCAGGTCCCCCCAGAGCAGCAGGATCACTCTGGCTGGGAAGTGGGTGGCTCCTTTTCGGAATAACCTTTCAGCTTTCATCTGCCTCCGCTAGGCCCCCAGAGCAGGCCTGGCTGGAACGTGTGCTAATTGGGCTGGCACGTTCTCAGGGGCCACGTAGCAACCCTGGGCTCCCCTGCCCTCTGCCCATCGGCTCGACCACCTCCTTGCTCCAAGGTCCGTGGGGGGCAGGGCTGGAGGCTGGCCCCCTGTGCTGCCAGGCTTGGGACCAGCCTGAGTGGGAGCACATTTCAGCCGTACAACTTCAGGCAGGTCACTAAACTGCTGAGTCTTAGTCTGGAAACTGGGAGTCGGAACAGCTGCCTTCCATGTGTCGGAAGCACTGAATGAGTTGGTGTTCAGTTTTGTTTTGTTTTGCGATACTGTGTATGCACTCGCCAGAGAGGAACAGAGAGGGAAAGTGAGACATCACCCCTCAAGAGTGGGCCATGCTGCAATCCCTTCTCCAGTCTCAGGATTTGGGGCATGCACACACATGTGCCTGGTATGTTTATCAGGTCACCAGGTTCAGGACTCAAACCGCACAGCCAGCTATGTGGAATCCAGCTGTCTCAACCACCTCCCTCCTCTCACCCCACTCCTACTCTCTTAAAATCACCTGTCTCTACTACTAGAGGTGTGGAACTGCTGGATACCCAATCGGGGCCTGGTATACGGAGGTCGTCCATGCAGCCTGGCAAATGAATCGATGAATGAGTGATCTAGCTGGTGTAATTCCAGCTAAAAGCAAAGAGCCAGGTGCTTTGGTCAGCCAAGGTGGCCTCGTCATGTACCAATGTCAATATATCAGAAGTTTTAGGAGCCAGAGGACCCCACAGTAGCTACCTCATGCCTAAAGGATGAATGACTACTGGGCATTTCAGACTACCGCACAGACCTTTCTCCCTTGACCCTTTACAAAATCTACCCTAACTAGTCACTTAAGGCACCCTGGAGAGACCAGCAGATGGTGTAATGGTTACATTGCTGGACTCCCACGTAGTCGACTGCAGTTCAAGTCCCGGACCCAGTGACTTAAAACTCATGCCGGGTGTGTGTGTGTGTGTGTGTGTGTGTGTGTGCCCAAAATCCTGAGGGATGACTGGAGGAGAAGGGATTGCAGTGTGGCCATCCCCCCTGGGGGGCTGATTTCTCGCTTTCTGTCTCTCTCTTTGGGGAGCACACGTGCCCTGTAGCAAAAATCTCTCTTATAAACAAACAAACAAAGACACCCTGGAAATCACACGTATTTTCAAGCTGCCGAGTCTGAGACTCGAACCGTGATTGATCATGTGGGAACCCAGTACCTTAACCACCACAACACCTGCTGCCCCTAATCACCTGTTCTTCCTTGGCTGGAGCGTTGGGTGAAATTTCTCCAGGGGACACAAGAGACCACCTCCTGCCAGGCTCTGTCCCTGGTCTGGGAAATTTGGCCCAGGTGCCACTTAGCATAGGCTTCCTGTGTGTTTCCCAAACCCTATTTCCCCCATACTGCTTTCCTTTAAAGTCACTCATCATTATTTACTTTAATTTAAAAATAATACTTGCCACTGCTGAAAGATGAAAAGTATAGAAGTGAAAAGGAAGAAGAATTACTGTAATTCCATTACCCTTGACAACATCGGCAGAGCCTTGCTGTACTGTCTTCCAATACTTCCTTCATTTATATAGGGTTGTATAAAATTTAAATAAAATTTTTATTGAAAGAAATAAAATTGGGATATGCTATATATGCAGCTCCGTACCCTGCATTTTCTATCTAAGAGCATTCATTCAAGGAGCAGCTCTCACAAAACTTGTTTTAAGTGCCAGCCCCCAGTCAGCCCTGTGTCCTGATGGTTAAGGGAGTGAGACCATACCTGGTTGACTGCATTTCTTTTTTAAACTCTTTCTTTTTTTTCTTTTAACTTTATTTATTTTAATTGGACCAGAAAGGAACAGAGTAAGAGACACAGCACGTGAGAGAGGGAAGTGAGAAAGCAAGCCACCAGGTCCGGGACTTGAACCAGGGGCGGCCATGTGGGAATCCAGTGCCCTTAACCACCATACTACCTGCCAGCCCAAGGTTAACGGCATTTCTAATCCCACCACTGATGACTTGAAAAAGTGTGTGCATGTGTGCCTCCAATCCTGACAGGATGGAGAAACAGAGAATAGAGAACAGACTGCTGCATGACCATGCCGTATTGGGGTGCTTTCTCCTTCTCCCTCTCTCTGTCTCTAGAGAGTGCGTGCACCCAGTGGCAACAAACAAACAAACACCCACAACAACAAACAAACACAAAAGCCAACTCCTCTATCATCCAGGCTGTATAAGGAAGCAACGGGGAAGCCCAGCAGGCAGAGTGGCCCGCACCCAGGAGAGCAGAAATAAGAACTGGGGAAATAAGAACTCACGGCCACACCTCTATTTAATTGAACCCTATAAGGAGGTGTGAAGACAGTTCCAGAAAGCGAGAACTGTGGGGGTCCCCCTAGTCTGTTGGGGTAAGAAAGTTCAGAGTC